GTCCTATAATTCCAGCACTTGGGTGGTGAAGAAAGAGCTACAAGTTGGAGGCTAGCCTGGCCCACATAGCAAGACCTTGCATCAAAATCAAAAGACTGAAGAGGGATCTCAGTGTTAGAATGGCTACCTAGCGTGTTTGAGGTGGTATGTTTGATCCCTTCGCACTGCAAGAAACAGACAAAACCCCTAAACAAAACCAAATAAAAAAGAACACATTTAAATAAGAAATCAGCCATCCATGATTAAAATGTGCAAATAAGGTTCCTGTGAAGAAAAATCTTCCTCCTGTATTCTTCCTCTATTACTTCTCTTATCATTTATGACTAACCTCTTTTTATCTTGAATGAGCTCAGCCATCTCCTGTTCCATCCAGAATGGTGGCTGGCTCTTCATCTTAAACCATCTTCTTTGATTTAATTAGGTTTTACTTTAAAACTTGTTTGTTGTTGTCATTGTTGGACATAGAGACTACAGAATGATTTTAAAATGTAGAAAATGGGAACTGAATCTATCTGTGTCTTTGTCTACTGTCAGTCCTTTATAGATCAATGGAAACAGGAAGGAAAAACAATTGTGAAAGGATGAAAGAAATAATACATCTCTGTGTGTTTTCTGACAAACCAGTGATAGTGACGGGGCCTCGTGTAGGAGAAATGTGGTTTTCTGGGACAAGTAGTTCTCAAAGTGGGCCCCATCCCAACAGCAATTAGTATCTGTCAATTGTGAGAAATTTGTTAGCCTGTCCATAAACCCGCTGAATCAGAAACTCAGGGATTGGGCTCAGAAATATTTAATAAGTGTCCAGGCAATTGTATAGCATGCAAAAGATTTAAAACACCAAAACGTAGACAATAAGATAGGCAAATGCAGGTAAGGTGAGCTTCTTTTTTCCATAGATGGAAGCTGTATAGAACATTTAAACAGCTCGAGGGAATAATTCTAACTGTCATGATAATGAAGTTTAAGTGGTGGAAATGTTGTGTTAGAAACCTACAGCCAGCAGACAAAATGGATTCCAAATACGAAACAGGAGGCATCTTCGTTCACATCCATGGGTGGTGAGAAGGATGAAGACTGAAGAGCACAAGTTTCACATCTCACATTTGAAAATACGTCACCCCTCACCCTTCATGGCAGAGACATGAAACACCTAAGTTATTTCCAAAAGAGAGGCATGAAACCAAATGAAGTCCCCCCCTTTTTTTTCTGAACGAGGCAAAAAAATAATAATTTTAGGCAAAAGTGCCTTTGTACACATATTCCCTCATTTTTATCTGTGATCCATAGGTTTGGCTTAGAAGCAGCCAAAAACAACTGCTGAGATCCTAAAGTTCCTCATTTTATTCCACTCCAAGATGTGTGTGCAGTTTCCTGGAATCAGCTCTGGGGTTGCTTATGCTAACAAAACCAGATGACACAAAATCACCAAATTCAGCTTAAGATAAACAGGGTAATTCTCGAGTCCCCCAGGCTAACCTTAAATTCATTTTGTAGCTGAGGATGGCCTTGAACTCTTGATATTCTTGGCCTTACCTCAAAGTACTAAAATTATAGGCATATACCACCATGCCCAGCTTATGGAAAAGAAAATTAACGTATAGATGCGCATGTTTATGTAAATGAAGCAAAAAAAGCACTCAATAGCATATATGCCAAAACTGTAAACTTAAATCTTCCCTTTCCTTTTCATAAACACAGACCAAAAGTAAATTAAAATGAGAACTAACAAGTAGTACTGTGCTTAAAATCTCTAGAACTTGGCAAGAATGCTTGCTATATTGAGGTTTACCAAAACTTCTTAAATGAATGAGCCTATGAAGTATACTTTTTAATGATATAAATGCCCTGATTATAACACTAAGTCATCTAAAAAATGTTGCTCTTCTTCCCTTCTGCTCTGTTTTCTGAGACAAAGCAAAAAGTTCCATGTAAAATCGGTTCTGGGAGTGACATACTTTATCTTGTGCACATTGATGGCCTTCCCTCTTCAGGGTCTTAGTCCCTTCCCACATCTTGGCAGTACCTGTATCTTTTGATGGTGATTAAATGGATAAAATTTTTATTTTACTTACCAGAGACAAGTTTCCTGAATCTACCCCATTCTTGTAGTCTTATGAAATCAGTTTGATACCTAGAAATTAAAAAAAAATTATTAGACTGTTGCCATACAGTTTTGGCATTAGACCATATGTGTTTGTGTGCATGTGTCTGTTATATACTGAGTAGCTATTGAAGATATTATCAAAGCATGAAGCTTATACAAACTCCATTATGGAAATATGGTATTACAAAATCCTTGTTTGAAATGGGCCAGAACAATCCTTGGAATGTTCTATTAATCAGATAATCATCCCATTTTGTAAAGATTTAAAGAATTCTGAGAAAAACATCTTGTCCATCATCAATTTGCCTCCCCTACTTTTTTCCCCCCAACAATCTGAATATCTGTATAAACAATTTAGTAAGTTAAGGTCATTTTTAATCAGTAATTGCAATTTGATATTGTTTCTATTTTATTTTTTAATTATATATTTTTATACCACAAATTGAAAATGGTTCAGACTTTACAATATTACTAGCTACTACCCCCTTTTTAATGTTTAAGGATTTTCTTTGAAACTTGATTGCTTCAAATCAATTTACATTTACTGTTCCAGACCTATAGTGTCTCTAATCCCTAGTATGCAAATTTATGACTGCAAATGTAAATGTTTTCAGCAAAAGACTTCAGGAAATACAATCAACACATTCATTCTTCCTCATCACATCACATCACATCACAGTTTTTTAAATTTTTAAAATTTTTTATTTTTTGGTATGTGTGGTGTGTGTGTTGAGTGTCTTTATCACTCTCCACCTTACTCTTTTGACAGGGTCTCTTTCTAAACCTGGAGCTAGACGATGGGCTAGCTTGGCTGGCTAGCAAACTCTGAGGATCCACCTGCTTCCACTCCCCAGGGCTGGAGTAACAGGTGCACACTGCCCTGCCTGGCTTTTCCTTTTTCATGTTGGTGCTGAAGCTAGAAACTCAGGTCCTCATCCTTGTACAAGCATTGACCACTGAGCTATCTCCTGGCTCCTATCATCACATCTTTGTGAAGAGAAGTCAAAACATGTACCTACAGAAGTATGTATCCTCCAAAAGGTAAGGCTGACACTTTTCTTAGGAAAAGGGATAGATACTACATTTCCTGTGTGACTAGAACACTCCCCATGTGGCCTCTTGGTGCATCTGAGGCCACCTGAAGGCATGCACATTGGCAGTGACCATAGGCAAGGCCAGGCCAGATTGGGAAGGAAAGAAGGGCTTTCTCCAGGTACTTCCCAGAAGGGCCAAGAAGGATGTGCTAAGGGCTATGTGCTCCAGCATGCATCTTTCCTTGGTCAAGGCCATGAGAATCTCTTTACTGACAATGCCAAGTGTGAGATACTGAGAAAAGCTCTTTCTTCAAACCTTCTCCACAATCCCAGCCTTTTAAAAGTCTCAGCACAGCAGAAACAGTGTAAATGGTTAACATTGGCAATTTTGCCTCACAGGACAGCTGTCTGGTTACAACATTCTCAACTGACAGTTCAAGACATAAATGTGCATGGCTGGAATCCAGGCAGAAATATGCTAAATTCTCATTTTAAAAAGAAAGCCTTCAGAGCTTCTAGACTGACAGCCCTTATAGATAAAACTGGCTAAGCCCAGGATTGATCTCTCTCTCTCTCTCTCTCTCTCTCTCTCTCTCTCTCTCTCTCTCCCTCTCTCTCTCTCTCCTCTCAACAGGGTCTCACTATGCTCAGGCTGGCCTGGAACTTGTTATATAGCTCATACATGTTCTGAACTCAGTCTTCCTGACTGCCTCCTGATTGCTAGGCTTACAGGTGTGGACCACCATGCTAGACTTTCATCTCAGGATTTTTACTTTGAGAAATTGAGAACTGAACTGCAGCTTATAGGTTTCACAGAAAAGGTGTGTTTTTAAATCATGCTTCTGTGAGCTGGGACTATAGCTCAGTACACTGACCTACCATTGTACATGCTCTGGGTTTCATCACCAGTGCTGCAGAATGAAAAAATAAAATGAAATAAAACAAAGCTTCTGATCACATGTTTTTGTTTAAGAAAATTAAGCTAAACTAAGTAAGTATCTAATGCTTGTAAACACCAATGGGTACAATGAAAACACCCTGGACCACATCCAGGATATATTTGTGAAACACAACTACAGTTTACTACTGCTTGTTTTACTAACATGCTAATATGTAAATATTCAAACTGAAGAATCTGCTGCTTTCCTACCCTGTGAATATGTATTTCAAGAAGTGAAGTGGTGCTGTGAATCAGTAGCCATTTTTTTTTATTGAATAAATTGTGTCGAATTTCCGGCAGAAGCAGCTTGTTTACCAATGGCAAATCTGGGTAACTATTTCTTGAGAGTCCTATAGGACCAGAACATGGCATTATTGTGACCTCATATCATGGTCTCTTTTGAGGCATTGGTTTTGGGGGACATGAATTTTGTTTAGATCTTTTGAGCCAGAGTTCCAATTTATAACCTTTGAACTCATGATCACCTTGCCTCAGCCTCCTGAGTGCTGGAATTCCAGACACGGACCACCATGTCCAATTGGGGGAGGCTTGGATTTTCATGACTAAAACCTTCTAACATCAGGCCGGGGAACTTGACTACTGCTAAATGTCATCATCAGACTGTGATGATTTACTTTTCATGTCCATCTGAAAGAAGGGATTCCTAACACAATGTCACATGTACACAATGTCACAGAGAGTTCTAGAATCCTGGGACAGGACATGGGTCCAAAGTCTCTAACTTTAGACAGAACTCACAACTTGCCGCTTCATGCCTGTCATCTGCCAGACATACCAGCCTTGCAGGTGAGCCCACTCAGAGGCTAGAGGCATAAATACTGGGATCATTACCTTCCATTCATTCTCCTTTACTGTAAAACAACAGCCCAGGGAAGAAAGCAATACGCTGTGTTCTAGGGAGGATACAGAACAGAGAAGTTTATTTTACACCATCCGTCCAAGAAAACAATTGCCATAAACCAGTGCAAAATGTGCAACCGAATCAATAAGTGTGTCTTAGCTCTGAGAGCCCAAATTGGTGATTTTCTCTCCTGGTCCTTTGGGCTTATGTGCCCTGGGCTGAAGCTGCCCCTCGGCTTGTACTCCAAACAGAAACAGTCAACCAATTTGTAGCAGGTTATTTTTACAATTCACACCAGGATGTGTACAAGGGACTGGGAAAACCATACTGAATGAATGGTAAGTGATCAGTGCTTAAAGTAAATACAAGGGACAGCACGGGCGGGCAAGAATCCACAGTTTCAATAAATACAAGTGTAACAAGCATGGGTGTATCTCAATTCGGTGGAAGTAATCTGTGTAATAATTCAGCATCATACAAAATCTAGCAGGGCGGTTGAGCAGTGATTGGCGAAATGTTCACAATAACTTATGCCCTTGAGCCAGTCAGCGGTTAACACATTCTGTGGTTTCCAAGGTGTCAGTTCTCTGCTTTCTCCCTCCCTGGCCATCCCTCTAGGAAGGGAGGGGTGAAACTGGCCAGCTTGGCGGTGGCATCCTGTGAAGAAAGATGTTCGCCCAAGAGCCTGCTGTTAGGGTCCAGTGTACTCCATACCAAGCGGCAAATTGGGACTTCTTTGACGACATCTGTGCAAAATGCGCTTCTCTCCATTTTCCAAGAAACCAGTGTCTGGAACTCCTGCCCAGAGAACAGTGGTGGCCTCTGGACCACTCCCTGTCACCCCAAATGCCAAGCAACAAGAGTACATGAAGGACTCACACGCTGGGGAAATTTCTGTCGTTGACTGCCCGGCGCTTTGCAGATGGACAGTTAGCCAGGGCCCCTTGTCAAAGGCCTCAGGCAGGCTAGAACTATTGCTTGAAAAACTAGAAAGAACCTAGTGAGAAACAGATGGTCATAGTGAACATGTGCGAAGCAGGCTTCTCCCTGTAACACCTTACGCCCCGCTAGGTGATGCCCTTAGGACTTCAGCGAGGTGTCCTTGGGCTGAAAATGTCATGCATTTATTTCCTGGTGGCCTCACTCAGTGGTTTTCCAACTAACTGCTAAATCCACTCAAGCTCCAACATGCCTGGGGTTTACCCCCAGGAGACACACAGTAAAGTCTGTGGATCATCTATTAAGCCAGAGCCCAGTGAAAGAAGACGCAGGGGGAGTCCTTCATCTCTGGAAAAAAAGTAATAAAACGGAGATCCCTCAAAATAAAACAATCCCTCAAACCCAGCAATCTAGGAATCACCTCCAAACACTCCCTGCTAACAGTGGACCCTCTCCTCTCTGTTTCCTCAATAGTCTCTGGTCATAAATTAGGGTATCTTCTGTGAAATAACTTAAAAAAGGAAGGACTGGAGTAAGTTGTGCCTGGCTTGGGCCAGTTAGCAGCCAGTTTTGTTCTAGAATCTCAGTCACTGTTCAAAAATGGAGCTTGAAAATTCACGTGGATATTGGATGTCTTCACATGGAGGAGGCAGGGAGGGTCAAGAGGGCAGGGGAGAGGGACTGGGTAGGAGGTAGGATCAAGGAGGTTGGGGAGCAAAGGAGGTGGCAGGGAGAGCCTAGGCCACCAGGACAGGAGCGGAGGCCTGGGGACAGCATGGGAGAGACGGACGCTGCGGCCCTGGGGGGCTCCCTTGCATGACTCAGGTGCGGCCGGGTCTCGTATTGCACAGAAAAGAAGGACCTGGGCCTCGGCAGGTGGCCTGGCAGATCGTTAGTCCCCGCACATGGGCAAGTTCACAAAGGTGAACACGTTGAACTCTGTCATGATGGAGAAGCACAGGAACACACCGTACAGGAAGAGGCACCCACACCCCAGCTTCTTGTCCAGCTGCCATTTGTTCAGGTGAACGCCAAACACCTGCAACATACAGAATGGGTCAGAGGGTGCTTGGGAAGGTGACCTGGGGCAGGGCTGTGGGTGTTGGATCAGGCAGGTTCTTGTCTCTTTGAGTCTGCAATATCCGTCTCTCAGATGGTGGAAAGGCAGAAACATCAAAATCAAGAAGAGAGGAAGCCATAACCTGCAGGTGGTGGTCACCTTTGTTAACAACAACAAAAAAAAACGACAGGGCCAACACACAGAGTGACCTAGGCTCGTCCCGAGTGTCAGTCCCATAGTCCGCTGTGTGTAGCATGTGATCTAGGCCTCCTCCATCCTGCTCTAACAGGCTCTGGCTGGCCCCCAATAACACCATCTATACCCCTCAGGTGGTGGCCTCACCTAGCACTTCCTCTATTACCCATGAATGTCTTTCTATTGCCGTTTGTGGTGGGGAGGAAGCTGTCTCTGCTTAGTTCCATTGCTATTCCAAACCATTATTTCTCTCCTCCCTAAAACACAGCATGAAATTTCATATTTTCTAGCCATCTTTCATCTTTCTTGGTTGCCATCAACCATGCAACCCTGGCCAGCCCCACTTTCCAGAGTCCTGGCTCATCATTACAGTCTACCCTGTACTATAGCTGTTATTTTAGTGATATCAATACCCCCAGGGAGGATCTTCCCAACACTTGTTCTCTCAAGTCCTTGCCCTCCACCTATACCAGTCACTTACTGTAAGACCCTTGCTGTGCCCATTAGCCACACATGGCTATACACAGTTACATTCAAGTGAAATCAGATGAAAAAAATGCAATTCCTTAGATGCAATAGTCTCACTTCAGGTACTCAGTGCTGCTCAGGCAGTGGTTACTGTACAGTGCAAATACAGCTGCTTCATTTGGTAAAGTTCTATGAGACAAGGCTATAGCCTTGATCTTGTTATTATCAATAGCAGAAACAGCTGAGACCTCAGGGCCACTACTCCTATGTTCCTTTTTCTTCAGTTTGTTTCCTTAGGCAGCCCAACTCTCACAACTCTGCAAATTCCCCATGACCTACAATTCCTTGACTCCACAGAGTTCCACTGGGTTTTACCCATCTTGCCTCTCCCCTCTCCTTCCCCTCCTTCCATTCCACTAACAGTCGCTCCCAGCTATCTGCCTCTGTTCTCTGACCTCTCTTTCACTTGGTTTCCTTGAAGTCCTTCAGTTCAAACTATGTCTCCTTTAAGCTTCCAAATCAGGTCCCTCCTTAGGGCAGGCCATTCAAGCAGCTCTGAGGAGCAATGATTCCAAACCTCTCCTCTAGGATGGAAAAGCAGACAGCAGCCTTGGCAGCTTTGGCTGTGTGCTTTACTAGACACACAAGTTTGCCCTTGTCGGTTCTCAGCCCAATCCTGTCCATACTTCAATGACAGGGCCCCAGCTGCACTAGCACAGGGCCACTCAAAACATGACTCCCCTCAAAATAAAAGGAAAGAGAGTTGGAGATACAGTTCTGTGACTGTGCTTGCCTACCATGCGTGAGGCCTTGGGCTTAGTTTTCAGTACTGCAAAAATAGAAAAAAATTGTCCTAATGCCAAGTCACACCAGCTTTGGGAATTCTCCTAAACAATGGAAGTTTTGATTAGGTAAATGTTCACTTTGTGTAAGGCAGTATTTGCTTAGGCAAAATCTTGATATTAGACTCCTTTTCTAAATGACCTCTCTTGCTTCTTTCTGCCCTTATGAATTCTCATTCCTTGGCATATGTAAGTTAAACACATGCCATTTGAGATTTGATGATTAGTTCCTTGGAACATAGAGCTTTGAAAAAATATTGTTTCAACACTTACTAATGTAAAAATTCAACAACATATTTGTATGCTAATGGATACTTCAAGTAGAGATTTATTCCTATCAAACATGTTAGTACAGCTGAGAATATTAAATTACACAAACGACTGCACTGGCTAAGACGGTGAATGCAGTGGCCTAGCAGTACCTTGTCAATAAAATATTTCTTAGTCTTTGAATATTGGTTAAAACCAGTCAAGGAGAAGTTTTGAAATCTAGACGAATCAATGAAATGGAATCTACATTTTGATAGCTAATCTAGTATAAAAGAGGGAAATCCTTTATCCAGGTGGGTGCAGCTGGTATACCTACATGTATAAGCCGGATGATGATGTTGGGATGTCTTCCTCAACTGTTTCTCTACCTTACTTTTTGACACAAGGTCTCTCAAAGAACCTAGAGCTTCCCATCTTTTGGCCACTGAGCCCCTGAGATCTGCCTGTCTCTGCTACAGGGCTAGGGTTATAGGCGTGTGCTGCCATGCAGGGCTTTTATGTGCGTTCTGGGGATTTGAACTCAGACCCTCATGCTTGCATCAAGTACTTCACCCGCTATCTTCTCAGCCCTCCTCTTTGCTTTTTATTGTTTTTGGGGATGTTCTAACCCAGGGCCTCACATGAGCTAGGCAAGTTCCCTACCTCTGAGCTGTATTCCTAGCCCTCTCCTCTGCTTTTGAAAAACGTTTTAGATTTGACACGAAGCAGGGCCTTGCTTCTGAGAAGAGGGCTAGTTTCTTTCAGAAAGGGAGGAGAATTCCACTAGGCTCTTCTTTTAGAAGAAACAGTCAGGAAATAGGACATTTGGATGTCTATGTCCCCATTTACTGGAGGCCAAGCCCACCTTGTCTCCAAAGAACTCAAGGGGAGGGGAGATCATGGAAACTCCAGGATAGAAAGAAGGTGTAAACCTACCGTGACAAAGACAGAGGCCAGGAGCAAGCCCACAGAATAGATCAGCCCTCTGCTATTCAGCCGAATCTGTAAGGAAGGATTAAACAGAATTAAGCTTCCAAATCAGGTCCCTCCTTAGGGCAGGCCATTCAAGCAGCTCTGAGGAGCAATGATTCCAAACCTCTCCTCTAGGATGGAAAAGCAGATGGCAGCCTTGGCAGCTTTGGCTGTGTGCTTTACTAGACACACACGTTTGCCCTTGTCGGTTCTCAGCCCAATCCTGTCCACACTTCAGTGATAGGGCCCCAGCTGCACTAGCACAGGGCCACTCAGATTCTCGACTGGCTGTTGTATGATTCTTGTCCATGAAAGAGTTCTATTGACGAGACTCACAATGAGCTTTAGCTTTCTCAAACTCATACTACATTTGGGGTGAAGTGTATCACATCATTTTCTTATTTTTTTGTGTATGTGTATGTGTGGTTTTTTTTTTGAGAGAGAGAGATACTTGGCTACTTTAATCTGCAGTTGGGTCGAGTTTAACTGAGTCTGGCTGTCAGTGTCTGGACCCCCACCTGAAGGACAATGTCCACCTCTTTTGCTCCTGTCATTTACTTCCTGCTTGACAAATGAGAAGCCAAAGCCAACTGAGATGCCATCAGGTACAGAGACTCCAAAGACTTACTTCTCTGGAGTCCAAATAGAACACAGTGGATTTTGCACCTCAAGTAAAAGGAGCTGATGGTGAAGATGTTATAAGCTGCCATCAGTACCATTATCACTCACACCACCATGAACACCTGTTTCAAAAGCTACCCTCCAGGCCAGATCATAGAAGAGTTCCCAGAAGAGCCAGGCTAGTTCAAAAGGAGCTTAAGCAGTATTTGGGGGTGGAGCTTACTCTGTCTAGTCATGAGCCATCAGCAGTGGCACCCACGAAGGATTTCCCCAAGACTCTCTCTGTGTCTGGCTTGTGGTAGATGACCTGCTAATAAGTCCTTAGAGGTGTTGTAATCAATGATGTCACTAGTGTTACCACATTCAGGCTATTCAGAGAAATTCAATTGCAAAGTCTGTTTCCTCTGTTCCATTGTGTCATCCTACTAACCTGGGTGTAAAACCACCTCCCGTGTGATTTTTGTCCTTGTTTGTTTGGAGTAAGTGAATGAGATGCTATAATGAGTAATCATAGGAGAGGGATGAGTTAAATCCATTTCTGATATTAGTAAAAAAGTTTGGAAGGGATTGTACTCCCCAGTAATATAATGGGCTTAACAGGAAAACTTTAAGGTGAGAGAAACATTTTGTAAGTCTTATAGAATGATGCTGTGCATTAGAACTTTCTGCAATGAAATGTAAAGTATCTGTGCTGTCCAATATGGTATCAATTAGAACCACGTGAGTGCTAAATAAAGGAACATAACGTCAATTTTACTTATTGTTAATTAGTTTAAATGGCCTTTAAGGAGTCACATGTGACCAGTGGCTCTGTGCAGGGCAGAGCAGGTAAAGAAGATTGAGATGCTGACATAAGCATCAAAGATCACAGAGTTTATTACATAGTGTTGATAAGACATCATTTCTGCCTTAGACTAAGGTCACAGGATGCCCTGAAATTGAGGGAGTGCCCCAGAGCAGTGGCTCTCAAAGGATGGCTTTATGGTGGCAGTGGCAGTGCTCTGAGTCATCTCTCCAGCACCTAAGCTCCTGTTCTCTTTCTACTTTGGCCTAGAGGGTTAATTCTTTAACCAATCCACTAAGCTCCCCACCTTAGTGACCATCTCTAGTTCATTATCCTCTTGTCCTGGCTGGGAAGTGGTTACCAACTCCCAAATGGCTTCTTGAGAATGAAGGGGGATCAAGCTGTAACTGTAACATGAAAGCAGCGGGTTAATCTTGTTACTTCAGAGCAGAAAAATGGAGGACCGGCCCCATCCCAGCTGGCTGGCGGTCTGACTTGACTCAACCAGGTGTGGAACCCCCACCCCCCCACTCCTCAACAGGTTGGCATAGAGAGGTCACTATCAAAGACTATATTACACATGTATCCTATGAAAAGGATTCTCTTGCTGGGAGAGGTGACAAGTGCCTGCAATCTCAGCACTCAGGAGGTATGTGAGTTTGAGGCCAGTCTGGGTTACAGAGCAAGACCATCTCAAAAAAAAAAACTCTTCAAATAAACCATCCACACTGACTCTATGACAGTCCTCCATGCAATTGGGAAGGAGATGTAGCTCCCCAGAGCCACACAGTGGCCAGCAGAGGGAAGAGCTGTCTTTGGAGCTATCTTCAGTTGCACAGTGCCTGGGTTGTACATGAACATTAAGAAACTGAGAATAAATACTCTGAAATCCTATGAGTTCTTAATTTTCAACACCACACACATTTTTCTTAGAATGAGGGCAATGTGTTCCCAACCTAAGTTTTACCCTCTGAGCTCTAGAGTTGATTTCCCAGTACGAATTTAATAAGTGATTTCTTACCTTTAAGAAACCAAGGACCAATGAGAGTAAAGATCTGAACAGGACTATTCTCCCTGGCTAGGCCATTTTCTAAAGGAATCATGTTACATTCAAGCATTTGAACTTTACTCTTCTTACAGTCACGTAAAGCCTCAAGGCACAGTTGTTAAAATTCTTAATCTGGTTTCAAAGATGAAAGACAAAGAATTCTGTGGAGTTTCTGAGAGTTTTCTACTTTCTCCCTTTCTCCCTTTGGTTGTGGAGTCCTATACATACCTGGGGGTATCAGCGATTTGTTCATTGTTAGGAGAACTGATCTTTTAGAACTTTCCTTTATTCCTTGATGACTGACCCTCATACCTCCACACAAACATGGCAGTCAGGAATTTGGCTTCCTTCAGCTTGCCTTTTGGCCTAACTCTAATGCCTCCTTTATCGGTTATCAGCGATTTGGGGTATGGGTTGGTAAACTGTGATTTTTTTGGGCCAAATATGACCTTATCAACTGTTTTTTTTTTTAAGTCAAACTTTATTGGAACTTGACTCACTCAACTATACAATGCTGACAGCTCTCTTTATTCTACTTTGTGTGAATTGTTTTTTATTCTACTTGTTCAAACCGTGTTCCAGTAGTTTTGGCTGGGACTGACCCACAAACTTTAAAATGCTTGTTCCTTCTGGTCCTTCAGCAGAAAAAGTCAGCCAGTCCCTGGCTTAGGACACAGGCTTCCGACTTCACTTTCTTGGTTGTAAATCCCTGCTTGGTGACTCAGTGTGCACAGACTAGTTATTTAGCTTCCTAAAACATCACTTATCTGATGTGTAAAATGGGGATAAGACTGTTCTTGCTTTATGGATGCTTGAGAAGATTGACTTCGTCCACATTAAAGCTCTTGAACAGAGCCTGGAGTGCAACGTATCCTTCGCCCCTGTGGTCATTAGTCCGTAATCACTTTGAGCTGCCTCTCTGGTTTCTTCTAAAAACTTATCACCTGTAACTCCTAAACCAACATCTTACTATGTTACAGACAGCACAAACAAGGCCAGGTCTCATTTTACCATCTACAGACCAGGTGTTTAGCATGTAACTGATGAATGAAAACTGAATGGCCATAGCTATCACATCTCATGGGGTCTCCAAGAAGGCAGTTTTCAGTGGGGGATGTGGACTGGTCAGAAAGAAGCAGGCAGCAGAGAGACCATGGGTACCATTTCTTAGATAATTCCAGAAGTATGACCTCTGACACTCTTCCTTACCTCCTTTCTCCTTTTCAATTTTTATGAGCACATACAGCTTTCATCAAAACCCAACAAGTTATAAGAATGTTTTCAAGCACTCAAGCCAAGTTCAAGAAATTAGGTTATTTTTAATGACCCTCAAAATAAGCTGCAGATACGAGTACACTTTATCCCAAAACATTCCTGCCTGCATCTCACTAAGTACTATTCAATGCTAGTAAATGGTCATTTATTTTTACGTGCAATTTTCATCTGGTGAAATTCACTAACCATTATTGCACCATTAAATGGGTTCTGAGAAATGTATACACCCATGTAACCCAAACTTCTTTGTGACACAGTGTACTTTTAGCATCATATGATGCTCTCTTGTTACCAGAGGCACACTGCTCTGGTCAGTTTAGCCCATCCTAGAACTTCATACAAATGGAATCCTATGGGTACTCTTTTACATGAAGACAATTCTATTCAGCACAAGTTTTAAAGATTCCTTCATGGTTTTTATTGCATCAGTAGGTCATTTAGTTTTACACAGTGACAGTGTAAATATTCCATAGTTTCATTATTCTGTTGATGGGCATCTAGGCTATTTCCAGTTTGAACTCTTGGTACCTATTTCCTTCATAACTGTAAAACAAAATGAAAAGAGACCTCCTCGTTGATAGAGCAACTATTAATAAACATGTTGAAGGGAGCTAGAAAAGGACCTTCTATCACCATCTCATTTCCTAGCTTCCCTCCCTGAAGCTGGGCACTTGGAACTTTTCCAAAGTGGAACAATTAATCTCTCTTACCTTACTACAGTCCTGTTCCTATTTGGGACCTTCAGTCTAGGCAGGTGGTGTATTCATCACTGCCCATCCTGCCCCAAATTGTCTCTTCCATCTGGCACTGAGCTCCTCCTGCCTATAAGTGAGGTAGCATCTTACCTCCTTAGCCAGGCCAAATGCTCTGAGGGGAAATGCCCGGGCTCTGAGTGTTTTTTACATTTCAGCACCTCGTTCCCAACCTGCATCTACTTGTGTGTTTGCTAGTGCATGTGCAGGTGCATGTGTGTACATACAGAGTGACAGTAAGGCTAGTGACAAGGGGCAAGAGTAGACATGTCAGTAGAGAAAAAGGGCAAGCAAGGTGAGGGTTGACTCCAAGCTGTTCTTTTTGAGGATGCCAATATTAAAAAATATTTTTTTGCTTATTTATCTGTGTGTATTTGTCTGTGTGACTATATGTGTATGTGTATGTGTATGTGTGGGAACAGGGGCCTGTGTGTGCATGGAGATTACAGACAGCGTTAGATCCTTTGGAGTTGGAGTTACAGGTGTTTGCGAGTTATCTGGCTTGTTAGATAGGTGCTGGGATCTGAACTCCAGTCCTCATGATTACACA